CACCTGATGAAGTATAGCCGCTGCTGGGCTTTCTTCACTGTGGCAGCTGTGTTCAGTGACCAGCTCAGGTCAGATGTCACCTGCAGGCCCAGGAACATGTGGCTGTCAGCCTTCTCCATCTTAGTCCCTATGATGGTCAGAGGCAGCAGAGGGGAGGGGTTCTTCCTGAAGTCTACTATTATTTCTTTTGTCTTGTTTATGTTGAGGATGAGGTCATTCTACTCTCCATAAACAGGAATGTTGTTCACCAAGCTTCTGTAACCTGACTAGTCTCCCCCCTTGATGAGGCCCAGAATGGTGGTGTCATCAGCATATGTAATGATGATGGTGTTGGAGACACAGTTGTAGGTGTACAGGGTGAAGAGTTTGGGGATGATACAGTAGCCCTGCGGTGAGCCTGTGCTGATTGTGAGCTCAGCAGACACCCGGCCTCCCTTTCTGACCACCTGTGGTCTTTCAGTCAGAATCCAGTTACAGGTGGGAGTTGGTACACCGAGGTCTGTCATCTTCCCAATCAGCCTGCCTGGGCGAATGGTGTTGAAGGCAGAACTGTAATCCAGGAAGAGCATCCTAGCATACGTACTGCTGTTGTCCAGGTGTTTCAGGGTGTGGAATAAAGCCAGAGCCGTCGCGTCATCCACTGATCTGTTGGGGTGGTAGGCAAACTGGAAGAGGGTCTACAGTGTCCAGGACCATGTGGTTAATGTGTGTGAGGACCAGTTTCTTTAAGCACTTAAAAAAACTCACTGATGTGAGCGCCACTGGCCTGAAGTCATTCAGAGTGGATTTGTCTAATGTCTTAGGGACCGGTACGATATTGGATTTTTTGATAATATTAATATATTAGTCAGCAAATAAAATATATAATAATAGGTCAATTCTAGCTACACCACCTATTTCTTAACATTAACACCAATAACTTAAAAAAACATAAAATATTGTCAAAAACTACTGGTAATGTGTCCCTTGGTTCTGGGGAGTGGTCAAGCTTGTTGTCCCACTGAACCAAATGTAACTTCTGTAATGATTGTGACCAAGCAGCATTTTATTTCTGTTAGTGTTAGAAATTTTGAAATGCACCTCATTGTGTACATCTGCCTCTACTTTCTAAATTAGACACAGCATAAGCACTTTGTATAGTGCAAATAGACAAACTTAGCTTGAAAATATTGGAACATGTTGGGGGCAAGGTCCTCTGGTCAGGATTCCCAGAATGCCCCAGTTATTAATGACTGTGCTATTCCAGTTACTCTTTATTTCTACATCGCTCTGTTATACCGTATGTCCTTTAGTTCTGTATGTGTGTTTCAGCAAGTGCCTGTTAGGTAGTTCACCCTGTCCAGTGTTTGCTTACCTTTGTGTATTTGCTTTGCCTGTCACCATGCATGTGGTTGCTCTTGCAGTTTATGCCCTACCTGGCTGTGCTGTGTATGAAAACTAAAAAGCAGTTCCAGCCTTTGCTACAATATGTACATGATTAAGCAGGATGCCTGTCTTTTATTTTACTATTGCAACTGTTCATTTCTGTTTGAGCAATCTTAAAAGCCCCACCCTAACATCGGTAATGTTCTTCAAACATTAAGTAGATGCAGAATTGCCTACTAACAATTAAGAGTAAATATTATTCATTTTTTATAAGTAATTAGTTGAGTAATGTATTGAGAAATGTTAGGTAGACTATATTTAATTTCTTTTAGTGTGTAATAGCATATTATGGGGTCAAATTTATCCAAACAAAGTGAGTGCAAATTGTTATCTCACATTTATTGAGGAGATTCTTTAGGCAATTTTTTTTTTCAGCGTATACAATGCATATATGTATATATGGTCAAAAAGTGCATAAAGAGCATGTGTGCTGTATTTAAATTTACATGCATACACGTGTGTGTGTATGTGTGTAAGGCACTGATGGCCAGCTCCCCATTTAAAGTTCAACAAACCAGTTAATCAATATCAAGGCAGGAATCATCTGGGTGACCTTAGAAAACACAGTGTCCAGTTCAATAGTTCATTCTCACATGGGCCCAGTCATACACACACAGCTATAGCTTCAACTATGAAAAACAGTCTAAAGCATAATACTCCTTTTATGTATCCTACAGTATATACTACTATGATATTTAGAAATGATTATCTGAAATATTGCATATAAGGCTATAAGGGCCTTTGAAGTTTAAACTCCTGTGGAACAGTTCACTCATCACTCTCTCTAAATGTATAAAACATTTGAACAGCATGGCACACACAGTGCTTAATTTGTAAGTTATGAGGTAAAATATATTGATGATGAACCTGGTATGTCAATGTAGGGAGAGGAGATCCCAGAAAAACAAAAAACAAAAGTTCCTCAATAACAAGTGTGTTTGAGTGGTTTCCACATTAAGGAAGCTATTTAGATGCAAAAACATTATTTGTTGTGTTTTTAGAGAGACCAGTAATCACATATAAAGACATGCATTTGCAAGTGTGAGTTAATTGTCAAGTGCAATTGATGCTAAATATATTATATATTTTGGATATAGCTCGTTTCTTTCATATGTAAATTAGCTGCCGGGTTTGTCAGAATAGATGCCAGTCACGGTTTGAGAGGTAAAGGATCTGGATCCAGCTTGTTTCAGCACAAATTAACCCCTGGGCACATACAATAAGGTTCCATGTGGTTCATAGCACTTGTGAGGTTTCCTTTTTTGGACATTGTGTTTTACATTCAAGGTGGGCAGATTCATGCAACAATCTACATAAAACCCACAGACAAGAACAGTTTTCTTCATGCCTCAAGTTTTCATTCTGTTTCCCTCAGTCCCTTATTCTTTGTTATTTTAGATTAAACATATCTGTTCAACTGTGGAAGATTTTGAACTACAGGCACAGAAATGTACACAATGGAGAGAACCTGTTCAGCCTGTTGGCTCATTTCAGATATTTCCCTGTGGCAACCGCATGGCATGTGAGACTTCCAGGAAAACCGGTGCATTCACAGGTTACACTGCAATTAAAAGCTATAGTATTAGAGAGTGTCTCAGCTGCACATTGGTGGGCATCATTTACCTTCTCTTATGCCCATGTGGGCTTCAGATCTGTCAAAACACACATTTTGGAGCACAGAAGTATACCATACACAGAAATGATCTGAAGTCACCTGTGGTTAAAAATTACAGTGACCAAAATCACCAAGTTTATGTTGCTGAAATTACTCAGAGCTGGGACAAAAGTGGGTGGGGAGTGGGGCATTTCGTGGCATTACTCAAACAATTATCAAAACAAATAAATAATTGCCAGTTAACAGCAAGATTAATTAACTAAACTTTTCAGCAATAAAAATGCATTGGTGTATTATGAGAAAGCTTATAAATGAATTATATTTAGTAATACATACATGTAAAATTCCCATAAGGAGGCCCGACATTTACAGTAGTGAATAATCAGTCTCCGGAGCCTGGAACTGTTGCTGTAAAGCATGTCGGAACTAAGTGGCACGTTGAAAATCCTGACGAGCATTTTTTGCTGTGACACAAAACGAATTTGGAGCACTAGTACCATATCCGAGCTAGGTAAGTTTAAGTGACAGAGAAATAATTCAACATAATATAAAATAGCCTCAAGCTGAAACTTCGGTATGTTAGGTTGGAAGTATTGTTTTTCCAGCATCACATGTACTGTCAGTGCTAAAATCAGATGGCTTCAATGCCAATGAAGCTAACGCTAGCCAGGGAATCTGCTTGTCCACAGCGTTAGTGCTCAAGCATCTGAGCTACAACAGTAGAAAACCACTGAGTATATCTGTTGTACTGCATAGTTGAAGTTACATTAGCTTGTTGTTGTATCATTAGCCGAGTGCGTCCTCTAGTTAAAGATTAGCCATTGTAGCGGCTACTGTTGTTATTCTTTATCGGTGCGCGAACCGAAAGGACCGATACAACTGGAAAGCATCATGAACAGACTTAGTGTTTAACTCAGTCATCATTTCACTGCAAATCAGTTCTGGTATCCTTACAGTTTTCTAGAGCTGTCTTTCTTGAAGGCAAGAAACTACAGCTCACTGTTACCTGTGATGATACAAAATGACCACAAGGGGGAGCCAAAACATAATAGGTTGAGTTCAAAAAATGTTTTGAGGTTTGCAATTGTTGCCTTTTGGTGATCTCATTGCAGCAGTGCCAGTGAGTAACGGCAGCAATGGCAAATTTTATTGCCGCAGCCTATACAGAGAGTAACAGATTAAAGGAAAAATCTGAATAAATGAGTCATCTCTTCCAGATGATGGTGTCCTCATTCATAAGACTCACAAGGTCACTGAATGTCCTGATGAATATGGAAATGATGTGAATCATATGCTGTGGCCTTCACAGTCACCAGATCTCAACGCAGTTGAGCATCTATGGGGGTTTGGAGCGACGTGTTAGGCAGCCATCATCAAAACAGCAGATGAGGGGAATATTTGTTGAAAGAATGGTGTTCGTCCCTGCAGTAGAGTTCAGAGTTTAGTAGGTCAAAGGTCAAAGTGTTTATTTGTCATATGCACAGTTAGGAAACGTGTTTCCCTGTACAATGAAATTCTTACTTTGCCGTCCACATGAATGCCACAAAATACAAATGAAATATAAAGTAGATAAATAAGTAACACAAAATCTAAGGCACTTTAAGCAGCAAATGCAGCAATATAATAAAAATATATAAGAATATAATAAGAGAATGTATGCTACATGGGAGCAGCATGTGCAGCAGTCAAGAGTCAGTGTGCAATTATGCATGTGCAAACTTAGATGTGAACAGTACAAGTCGACAGTACATCATGTATTGCCCGGTAATAAACTCCTCAGCTGTTTAGGAGTCTGATGGCAGAGGGAAAGAAAGAGTTTTTCAGTCTAGTGGTCCTACATTTCACACTTCTGAACCTCCGGCCAGAGGATAGGGAGGCAAACAGTCCATGATGGGGGGTGGGTGGGGTGTTTGAGGATGGAGGCAGCTTTCTTACACACCCTGAGGTGGTAAATGCTCTGCAGAGAGGGCAGTGGAGTCCTGGTGATCTTCTCCACAGTCTTTACCACTCTCTGCAGGTGCTTGCGGTCCATAGCAGTAGTGCTGCCATACCAGACAGTGATGCAGCTGGTCAAGATGGTCTCGATGATGCAGCTGCAGAAGTTGCTGAGGATCCTAGGTGACATGCCAAACCTCCTCAGCCTCCTCAGGAAGTACAGCCGCCGTTGGGCCTTCTTGACCAGCTGTGTGGTAGTAGTATCTAGTAGTAGTAGTAGTAGTAGTAGTAGTAGTAGTAGAATCAATACTAATCAGTGAAGCTGTTCTGGTGTCACGAAAACTACTGAAAACCCCAGCAATAGATTTCTTCAAAGAATACTCTGTCAGGGCCCAGCAGAAATAGATTGTGGCCTGTCTTGACAAAAAAAAACATCATTTTGCTCAGAAGTAAGGTGTGTTCATGTGCAGGTCAGTAATGGCAGAGACAACTGGTATCGACTTAAACAGGAAGTTTGTGTCAGAAGCAGAGCTTGATGAGAGGAGGAAGAAGAGACAGGAGGAATGGGAGAAAGTTAGGAAACCTGATGACCCAGAGGGTAAGAACACACTCTTACAAGCAGATCCAAAACACACCAAGCCATGACAATACACAGATCTGTGTATATATACTTCCACACACTGTATTTGTCTGTTGCTCTCCAGAGGCCCCAGAGGAGGAGTATGACCCACGTTCCCTCTATGAACGGCTACAGGAGCAGAAAGACAAGAAACAGGAGGAATATGAGGAACAATTCAAATTCAGTGAGTCTTTGTCTAGTTTCCCTTTGTTCCATCTGTCATTCAGACTTTTACGTCCATTTATCATCTATCTTTAAAAAAACAGTTTTGCTCTCTCGATCTACCAAGCTAAGGAATGTGTTGTAATGCTTGACGGGTATGACAAGGATTTATTATCAGCGGTATCCATCACTATTATTAAATGCTAAACAGTCCATTTCAGAATTAAGTTTTATAATTTATACTGTGCTTTACTTTGCAGATAAGAACGGTTTACAAAAGCTTGATCATAAAATTCCATAGAGTCTTAATAAATCTAGTAAGCAGTACTCGTAGTACTGTACCACTATGCTGCCAGTTTTACAGATCAAAGTTGGTCCTGCTCACTGTCCAATAACAGCTGTAAAATATTTTCTGTGGCTTCTGAGGAAGCTTTCTGAAATCTGTGAAGTGGAGTCATGATAGATGTAACAAAAGAATCCATTTGAGGTTTGACTGGTGCTCTTTTGATGACATCATCTTCTTCTGCAGAGGTCAGAAACAGAGGCACAGTGGTCATGTAAATCGTAAATGGATTGTATTTATATAGTGCATTTTTCCACAGTGTGTTGCACTGGCCAAAGCACTTTACAGGAGATGATACACCATTCACACACCAATGACAACAGGCTGCCACACGACGGCGCTAGACAAGGCACTGGGAGCAATTCGGGGTTCAGTGTCTTGCTCAGGGACACTTAGGCATGCAGGGAGACTGGGAGTCAAACCACCAACTTGCTGGTCAGGAGACGACTGCCCTACCTCGTGAGCCACAGCTACCCCATGTAAAAATAGTGGATGGAATCACATTATTTTTCTTTTTCATACATAGTCCCTCCAGCGTGTCCTGGGTCTTCCCCGTGTGGAGGAGCAGCGGTTCTACTCTGAGCTCCTCCCGGGTGACCGAGCTCCTCACCCTATCTCTAAGGGTGCGCCCGGACACCCTGCGGAGAAAGCTCATTTTGGCTGCCTGTATCCGGGATCTTGCCCTTTTGGTCATGACCCAAAGTTCATGACCATAGTTGTTAGTCGTTCTATAAAATAAAGATTTCCATAAAAATTTCTCAGATGATTTAATTTAAGTAACCATTTAAAGCCCAGGGAAATAAAATTGTCAATTATTTCACAAAAATAATAAATTTATTTAGCAGAACAATTTTTTTCTCTATTTAACCAGCTACAACATTAAAGGCTGCTGACACAGTGACGCATCAGTATTAACAACCTAATGTGTCAGTGACGGTGGCCATCCATCTCTATTTTTAAGATGGATTTTGAATCAAGGAGTATTTGTACATCATCCTGGTGGTATTTTCTAAAACACTGAAAGAGGCTAGTCAGTTGTATTATGGAAAACAGGATGCAGCATTTTTGAAGCATCAATTTTGATCAATCTTTTTGATCTGTCCTCATGATGGGAGTGGTATACTAAATTGGAGTAGCCCTTTGGACTCGATTTCTACACCATTTAAATGTTCATTTAAAATGAGAAATGAGAATATAGCGAAACAGAAAATCTGTACAGTATATCTCTGTGAGTTTACTTTTGTAGGCTGGGAGACATAATCATACCACAGCATAATAAAGTTTTATTACCACCCCATTCTTTATTTTAAGTTTTTATGCGTTTCACTAGCAGTTTACAGGTGCACAAAGATATTTCCTGTCATTTCTTTATGTACATTATTTTACAGATTTCAGCAAAGAGATTTATTTTAAGAAGACTCATGTAATTCACACATTCTAAAAACAGTTCTTGTATGTTAAAATTTTTTGACAGTGTAAGTGCTTTATTGTCTTCATTCGTGAACATTTCAGGGTTTTCTTTTGACGTGACACTCCTTACACTTGCGTGTAGATTTAAAGCCGACTGTTACGATTTGTTTTCAGAAAAATAGTCACTCTACTGCCTTGTGTTAGTACATATTTGTTTCCATGGTGACAGAGAACATGGTGAGGGGATTGGACGAGGATGAGACCAGCTTCCTGGATGAGGTCTCCCGGCAACAGAGCCTCGTGGAGAAGCAACGCAGAGATGAGGAGAAGCAGGAACTGTTAGAATACAGAATATCCTTTGTGTTTGCTTACATATAAGCTTTATATTTTGCCACTTATTTATTTATTTTTCTTTTTTGCCTAAATCAGTTTTTCTCTATTTTTGTGAGCGATAACAGATTTTTCAGGTTTAAAATAAGGATTGAGAAGTAGTTGAAGTTACATTTCATTTGACTTGTTTATTTTGCCAAATGTTATGAAATAAAAAATCAGTAGAGACCTGTCATAGAGCTTAGCATGCAAACCTCATTTGCTCCAAAGAAATAAAATTAAATAAAAAAAAAAAAATCACAATTGAGGTTGAATCTATGGCCTTATAGCTTTAAAATTCAGAAACCAATTCTAATTTACAATTTTGTCCACATGTAAACCTTTTAAATCTCAATGAAAACGAAATATCAATCCATGTAAATGCTAAACTAATATTTGCAAAAATACTCTTGACACTCAGTCTAACCATTAAAGTTACTTCACTGCCTCCAGAAAAAGGCAATCAGAGAACTCATTTCAAGAGAAGATGCATTCTTTCAGCTATATTGCTTAAAAATCAAATGCTAAAGTTAATCTCTTAAGGTCATTGATAAAAGTGATATATTATCACTGCACCTGTAATATGACAGTTGCCCTCATGCAATGAGCTAGATATTTTTAGAAGACTTAAATTTAGACTTATATAAGTCTTACAACATGATTTTACACCCAAAGGCAAAGCTTCATGTCACCATACTGCATATGCTATGACCTGCTAATCCAGATTCCTTAGTAGCTTGTGTATTCAATAACCAAAGTAAGTATATCTCCTTTGAAATGACCGAGAGCGCACAAACGAGACTTAGTTTGCAAGTCAGCATTTGAGCACAAGTACAAATTTTTAAAAGCATATTTGAGCGAGTAGTCCCGATAGTGGCCTGTTTCTGAGTTTCTGAAAGAGCCTCGTTGCTTTTGTTGGGCGTAACATATCTTTTTGAAATCTAATGACTTTGATAATAATAATGTACTGTTAGTCTTAATTATTATTAGTTTGCTTCATTCATTTTTTGAAATCCACATGTGGGATTAGCTCATAATAAACCCAAACATTTTCCTAATAGTAGTTCAAAATATTTCTGTTAATTATTTGTAAAAGCTATTTAACACAATTAAGAAAATTTAACATTTGCTTCAGAACACCACTAGGAATAGAAGTGAGCTAGCATAGCCACTACAAATAGTTACTTTTAATTGATTTGAGCACCAGAACTACTCTGCCACAATGGCATATCAACTACATAATTTCCCAACATGTCATTTATTGTCGGTGCAGTTTGATTTTTACAGACACTGGTGGTTAAAACGCCCAGCTTTTAGTTTTAGAGTAGAAGGAGTGCTACCTGCTTTGATCACTACTATTGCAAACCTGCATATTATGAAATGCTGAACAGTGCTCAAAATTTTGTTTGTGCGCTGTTACGTGTTTAGGTGGGGAAGTTCTTCTCAAAACCCCTAGAGAAAACTGAGAGCAGTCTCAGAGAAAAGCACACGTATTGTCGAGCTTGTGCACTCAGATTTGATTCTGCTCTCACTAACCTGCACTTTTGCTCTCTGAAATGCTGACTTGCAAACTGAGTAGTGCACAAATTGGGATACACAATCCAAATTTTAAGGTTTGTGTATCCCAGTTTGTGTTTTGGCTGTGATTTACTTCCATACAACAACCATGAACTGGTTAGATCATTGACAAATCAACATGTCATTCTAGCACTAGTAGCAGCACAGTGAACTGAACCTATCACAGTCTGAGAATTAAATGTATTAATAGGAACAGCTACATGATGGCTGCCAGGTGTAAGTGTTCAGTGGTAAGTTAGATTGTAGTGTTTTAGCCAAGTGTGAGTTTTCTCCATGTAGTATAGTATATTTCAATTAGTCAGTATCTTAATCTTGCTCAACAGTGAAGCTGTTTTCAGTTAATTCTTTGCACTTAATGATGTTTTCTACAGGACATGCCTGCTGCTAATAAGAGAATCTCTTGTTTCATGGATGATAAGCAGTGTTGTGTGTTGGCACATCTCTATAGTGAAGCTCCTGCTTTAACTGCATCACGCATTCATTGCACACAGACAACTTCTTTAATATATATTGTATGTTCATTCTTATGAACCCTCACCAGCCACTTTATTAGGTACACCTGTACAGTTGTAAGCAATTCGGTGCAACACTTCCTGTGTTAATGAAGCTCAAAATGTTTGTCTTTGGTGAAATTATCATAAATGCATAAATTCAATTATAAGTTTATTATTGATTCCATAATTAAAAGAGGTGTTGTACTGGACTACATTATATTCAGAGGTGTTCCTAATATTCTGAATATGTAGTCGGGGAGGGCAAAAATATAGAGACACTTCTAAATATGTATACATTTATGACAGTATCACCAAAGGTTGAAAGATTTTGAGCTTCATAAACACAGATATTACGGCAGAAGTGTTAGATTGACGTGCATACAACTGTACAAGTGTGACTATTAAAGTGGCCAGTGACTATATGATACCAGAACCTTGCACTACATGAATTGGTCTGTGTATAAAGAGTAGAAGTTTTTCTTTGTGTTGCAGTTTTATCTGAAGAACACACTGATTACAAGAGATGTCTTTGTGATTTATGAGGGATTTGTGAGTTTTTTGGTTTAATAATCAGACTGAAATTCATTCAACCCAGCATTGTGTTCATGTTAGCTGTTTTCTGTTGGGAGGGGGATTTTTTTGTTTTGCTTTCCTCCAACCAATCAGTAGTGAGTGACATTTCTGTCCTGCCAGTGTCTGCAGGAACGGTTGCCAGCAATTAACTAAATGTTTTTCCACAGTGATTTACTTGTTGTTTTTGTACGGTAAGTCCTACAGCTGCATCAGGCTCATCTGCACTTTTTGTCAATTTCCTGTTGCTTATTTTCATGACCGTAGCTTGAACATTTGATTACATGACCAGTAGTTTTGCTTGTTGTTTATTGCTCTCTGTGCTTTTCATCTGTTACCCTTTGTCACTGTCACTGTCTTTGTGTTTGCGGACAGACGGGTTTCCAACAGACAGCTTTGTCTGCAGATGAAGAACAGAACGGGTTGTCGTGGAAACTATCATAGGCTGGTAACTACGGTGACGATTTAAAGCAGGCATTTGCTCATGTGAACACAAAGTACACACTCACACACAGGTGCAGACCTTAGTCACTGCAGTGAAAACTCAGGACTGCTCGTCTGTACCTGATGTACTTAAAGCCCTGCTTAGTGTCTGCTGGTCACCATCCACCTGTTTATTTTCTCTTACACCTTGTGTGCTTTGTCTTTCTGTGTCATCCAGGTCATGCTCCTCTGTCTCTGCCGCTCAGCTCTATTTCATGTCTCCTGAGCTCTGTCCAGCTCCCGTTCTTGTCTTTGGCTCTTTATCTGTGTCATCTCTCTCTGCCCCTCTGTTTGACTGCTTTTCTCAGCCTCATGAAACTGTGTCATTTTTTTTCCAGCACACTGATTGAGAGATGTACTGGTTCCCCCTGAAGAGAAGACAGAATGTAACTTGTTGAATGTATTGCTACTGATTAGGCCATGCACCTTAGCCTGCCCTGAGACCCACTCTACAGTATGTCGAGGCTCCATTATGGTTTATTCACCTTAACTCTGTACTGCCACAGCGCTCTAGTGAAGCAGGCATCATCTGAGAGCCGCAGAGAGCCTGAAAAAAAGGTGACACCTAAACATTCAGGGTCAGAGCAAAGGACCAGTCACCTGTCTCAGGCCCACTTATTGGTTGGAGCTGTCAAAAGACGCAGGTAAATACATTGACGGTGATTCTTTGAACTTCAGTTAATTGTTTATTTTCCTTTAGGCCCCATTGGGGTAGCAGAACAAACTGTGAACAACACTGAGAACAGTTGCCTGCTGACAAATCCAGCAGTTATTTGAAGTCAGGTTTGTGTCACCAGATGAATGTAAATCCAGTTTACATTCTCCTATATTTTAGTCTTCACCAAATACTGACAGAAACTGGCTGCTACATGTGGCACTGTGTTCACCAGCTTGTTGCTAATTGCCAGTTTGCCCTTTAGCGACTGAACCAAAACATTAAGGTTGTGGTACAAGACACTAAAATGGTGTAGAGCTGTGTGTACAGTCTGGTGATAACTAGTTGGTTTGACACTTAAAATGACATTACAGTGACATTACACATAGTCTGCTGACCTATTGTTACAATAAAATCAGGGCAGCTTTAAATCTTCAAAATCTCTTTGTCTTCTGCCCCAGTTCTTCCCAGTCATCAGACAGCAGTAAGAAACAGAAGGTGGAAAACACAACCACAGCAGCAGGGAATGGAGACAGAGACACAGGTGGGCTGAAGCCTGAAACCTAAAAGGAGGAATATTTGTGAAGCAGACAGAAATTGTGCACTTTGACAGTTCCTGGAGTTGCTAAATGATCAGTTATCAGACCTGAAAAAAACGCTATTCAGTTCACTGCTCAGTTGAATGGGATATAAGGATTAGAATTTAGGTTTTTGGACTTTAAATTTTCTTTTACCTTGTACCGGAAACTTAAAGCTACAGTGTAAGCCTTTTATGTTGACATAGGAGGACCTATCATGGAGGTTGCCATGTGTTTTTTTTTTTTTTTTTTTGTTTTTTTTACAGTAGCCCACTGGTTCTAGCATGAATTTTGCTTTTTTATGTTGAAGTAGCAGCTTGGATTTGGAGAAGCTTGAAAGACAAAGAAGTAATGTTAGAAACAAGACGAAGCATTGTCATGAGTTTGAGAACTATAATTTGAAGAAATGGTCGATCATAGATGCACTTTAACACAAGCAAAAGGAAAACAGCGTGAATCCCCATCATCAAAGAAGCAAAGACATGAAGAAATGGGATAGACAGCAGCACAGGAGGAGGATAAACATTGGTGTGGCCTTTCCTAGATGGAAAACCTTGATGAAGGACAAATGTGTCCAGAATGATACTGACGTTTTGCCTGTTTTCTGCTAGACAAGTAACTTAGCCTAACAAGTAAAGTTAACCTAAATGCCAGTTTTTGTTTTATAGTTTTTACTAGAACATGGCCAGTGCTGCGTAACTCACTGCGGTCAAGTCAGCTTTTGCTTGGTTAAGTCAGCCGCAGTTGTTTTGCAAGTGCGCAATTTGTCCTATATTTATGGTAATCGGTATGAGGGCTGTTTAACAGGATGTACGAGATGTATACTGTAACATTGGTCACTAGGTTGCAGTTGTTTTAGTCCCCACCCTGAATTACTTGAGTGACCTTAAGGGTTCACAGCAGTGGCACTAAAGAATGGTAGTCTTTATTTGATTCAGCTATGGTGTAGCCAAGGTGATGTGTCTGTTTGTAAATCAGCAAAGTACGATTTTCTGCCTGGGTAGATATTTTTGTTGGTGTCCCTATTGTAAGTGAGTTTTTCTTCACCATCAGATGTTTATATTCTTCTGGTTTCGCGCCAGTCACATAATAGAACATCAACACATCCACTACCGCCATGTGAATACTCAGGACTATACGCTGCTGTTTTCTCACATGGGGTCACTCGGACTTTACGTGGACTTTGTACTAGGGAGCTGGCAGAGTAAAGTCTGAGTTGACTGACTTAGACATTTGCGTTCTCACATAAGCTCCTCCGGGTAATGTCTAGGGAATTTCAGGATTCCAGTGCATGCCTGACAAGGGCTTTATTTACAGTGTACATGCACTTCATTCTGCTTATTACCTGCATGCAAATGTATTCACAAAAATTGCCTATTGATTTGAACAAATTGAGAAAAATGTCATTGTTAACACTGGATATGTAAACATTTAAGTTTTTAACCTGCATTCCACTGAGGAATTATACAAACTGGGGCACTGGAAATAGCCTATTAATCGGTAAAATATATGGGTAGTTGTGCATGTACAGACTGACAGTGTGTTGTGCTGTTCAGAACAGGAGGGAGGAGAAGGAGGAGGAGGAGGGGGAGCTGAAGATCAACAAACAGTCCCCTGCCTCTCGGCAAACACTCCCTCGGCTCCCATGCGCTCTGGTCAAGGCGTGTTACACCTGCCATCAGCAGCCGTGTGCGTCGGCGTTTTACCAGGGCTCTGGGTGTATTCTGGCAGCAGTGACTCTGACAGCAGCTCAGACAGCGAAGGTAGCGTGGATGCAATCATGTCGCCGTACTCCCAGCACAGCAGGACCTACAGATAGGCACACAACAGCATCCACACACACAAATATACACACACGTACAGACAACCGTGCGACGTATTTTTGCATACCTTCAGAATGGCTCGCAAACTGTCAGGAAAGGTAACCTCACACACGTACAATACATGTACACACACATATTAGTCATACACTGACAACACAGATCTAGCAAACTCTTTCAGTATTCCTGTTGTTTTCACAGCTGTGAGTTGAACTGTTGCTCTGTCATTAGACAAAGTTCAGCCCAGTTATATAAGCTTTACAAACTGTAACGTCCAAACCGATTTAACTCTGTCCTAAACTATTCTGTGTTTCTGTTGGTGTGTTTTTTTTTGTTTTTTTTTTTGTTGTTGCTACTGTGGCACTTGAACATGACACCTCCACCCTTCCTTCCCTCAATCACATCTCACAGTTTAAGCCGAGCAACCAATCCCGCACTGCCTGCCCTGACGACATTCTGCCCCCCATGCCCCCTTCCCAACCCAAGCCACAGCGACTGCAAGCTGTGATATTGGCTGAAGGAACAGTGACTGACAGCTGTGGAGCAAGGAAGAGACTGCTTTAGATTGTGTCACATGACTCACACCTTTTAGCCGTCAATGGCAGAGGGGAGAGAGAGACAGGGCAGGACAAGCTTCTCTCTCTCTCTCTTTGGATTAAATGCAAAGTTTGAGTGGTTTGAAAAATAAAGTTTTTTATTTGTGTGCTGTAATGTGATTCTCATCTGAAGTTTGAGACCATGTCACATTATTGCTGGAAAGATGCTGGACTGTTTGCTAGAGCAGTGTTTCATCTGAGCAGAGAAAAAATAAAGAGCGTTCTCTTGACTTGTGCATTTACTGTGGGTTTTTGTGTGTCAGACCAAACCACAAAGAACTAGTATATTTGCAGAGCACATAATTTTTTTTTTATATCAGGGACCAGTTAAGGATTAGAAAGAGCATATGCTGCATTAATTGTGCTCTTTGTCTAGTAATCATTAGACACCAGCTTTAACCCTTCAGTGTCCATCAGTAATGTCTACTCCAGCAATGACTACTCATTACAGGTATGGGCTGTGCATGTGATGTATGGAGCATGAGCTCCAAAGTGATTCATTCTTTTCAAGTTATTTCGTTGGAAGGCTCAAAGACCAGAAGAACTCAAAGTAAATGGTATTTCACAAATGTTAGAGAAAACAGCCATCAGACAGGATATGTTCCCTCATATACAGTATAGCACATGCTGTATGTGGTGAAGCTTAACCTCTAGAGTCCCTGCGTCCTCATATGAGGACCGCACAGCTTGGGTTTCCAAAGCTCAGGACTCTAGAGGTTAATTGTAGGAAAGTATTTAAGAGTACACCAGTTTAGCGTTGCACTCATGTAGTGTTGCTACACTCAAAATGGTCAGTTTTTTGTTCCATGCATCTTTCCTCATCAAAACCACAATGCAACTGAGCAGCCAGTAGTTTGTTCTGAGATTTGGCTGTGTTATGCTAGTAGCAGCTAGTTTCAAGGAGAGCTGAGGAAAGGGCTACAGATGTCTGGGAAACTCACTTCTAGCACCTACATCTCCCAAATTTTGTCTTCAAACTCAACAAACTCTGACTCAAGTGACATGACTTGAGGTACTTTATCAGACTTCATGCAGCTGCAGTAGAGATTTTTTCAGTAGTATGCAGCAGTAATAGCCACTGATGTGTAAAATCCCTTTTAAGTAACAATGGAGAAAGGCACTGTAAAAAAAAGTCTGCTACTGCAGCAAGCCTAATTCTGAACTCTGAACAAACTGTTTCTGAGGATGGCTCTGTCAGTGTTAGAGGTTAAAAGATCTCAGATGTAGCCTGGAGTCAAAACTGCATTGGCCATAGAAAATACAGTGTAAAATTGAACTCGATCAAAACAAATTCAGGTAATTGGATTCTGGGATGAGTATTCAGTCTTAATTAAAACCTTGGCGAGTATTTGCATCTGGAGCTGAGCTCACTTAACTGATTGAGACAGAAGAACAGGGTTGCAGTCATGGTGACATGATATCAAAATGTTAAGTCTCTGACCTAAACAGACCGGAGTTTGTCTCTTGTGGAAAAATTGTATCTGTAGGTGCATTGCTGTAAAGGACTGAGAGAGATTCAAAGCCCTTGTAAACACAGTGATGATGAGACTGGAAGATAATTTTATCTTGTGTTCATGATCGGTGACAAGGACACCTGAGGACACTGAGGACAGTTCACTTGCATCTTTAAGGCAGCCCAGCAGGTGAAGCTCAGTACCACTGGTGTATCTGAGATGAGTTGCTATGACAACAGATAATATGAGCAACATACACAAAGGAAATATCAGTTGAGGATTTGAACTCTGAAGCATTCAAAACACAAACACTTTAGATTAAACTTAGTTCCAGCCGCATTCTTTTAAATCTGCCAGTGAATGCAGTATGTTAAGGTGGTTTGTCATTGGAAGCGGCACCAAACCAGAACATTAAGAAATCCTCATACTGCCTAAAAAGGGTGTAGGATGAAAGTGGCGTTTTTGTAAGCATTTTTTTTCCTCTGTAACCTTTATGAGTTTCTGCCAACAAGTCCAATTCACAGCAATGGGACAAACAACAGGCCACAGTGACCTTGACCTTTTACCACAAAAATCTAATAAGTTTATTCTTGAGTCCAAGTGGATGTTGGGTTGTGCGCTTGGCGACTGTTTTGTGCCTGTAGTAATTTTGCTGCCCCCTGTGGTTGATCTCATTGTGTTTATATTGGTTAGTTAGATCCCCCGCACTTACAGCCAGAGAGACTGAGGGGAACATGTGACATTACCTTCAGTTTATTAACCTGAGCGTGGACATAGACAGCTTTAAAAAAATTAATAGCAACACATTTGGTACAAAGATGCACAGCAAAACACAGTAGTAGTTGAAGTACACAAATTGCCACTGCATAAAAAGTACATTAAAAACAGGTCAGAAACATTTGCTTATCAGAAGATAAACAACATTGTATAAATATACATTCGATGTATATGCACATCAAAAACTCCTGTGCTTCCACTCTCTCAGTAAAACCCTTCTCTGAAAATTTTGCCATGTAACACATCTGTCACTTTCATTTGACTCTCATTAAAACATGTACAAAATCTGATAAATACATCATTTGAAATAAAAATCATGCATTTGTGATCATCAGTTTGTAAATAATGAGCAGATATTGGCAACATGCAGCATGAACTAAAGTCTTAGGAAATACAAGGATTTTGCAAAACTTATCAAAATGGTCCCACATTGAACAGCCTAGAGTTCACACAGTATACCACGCTAATCATGCGTTAGTGCTACAGACGCCACTTTGGCTTCACCCTTCTCTGATCCAGTCACTTTAAATCAAATAAACATAGTGGAGCTAAAACCTGCCAACTGGTCATCAGATGACTAGAGATCTAAAGATCTAAGTTACAACCTCTCTATGATGACAGTGCATGGGTGAAGAAACAGTGCTCTGTTCAGGCTCAGTCTGTAAGTACGCCACACCTGAGCACAAAATCAAACGACCTTCATCTGATCTACCTGCAAAGGATCCGTATGAAAACAGAAGAAGATTCGACCACTGATACATTTCAGCTTACAGGGACATCAAGGAGTTGTATGTACCACATGGTATCGATCACAAGACACACACATGCAAAACACAATACAAACCAGATGAATCAAGATAGTTTTAATTTATCTACAAAAGGCCAGAGTTTTACCTGCATATTAATATAATCACCTGCCATCAGTGAAGACATGCAATGGTCCTTTACACAGTATTGTCATACATCTGAGTGTTGGAGAGCTTTAAGAAACAGACAGCATCACTTCTGATGGATTCATGTTGGATACGGATCCAGCATTGTTTAACCAGAAATCTTTGCAAATATAATGGCAGGGATGTTTTCAATGTTTGATGTTTTATTTTTTTGTCCAAAACTTAACATTTGTTCACAGGTGATACAGAAACTTTCATTCTTTACTGTTTGCTGTTAACAAGAAGAGAGGTTTTGCTGAGCTACTGTACAGCGCGTGGACTCTCTTGTTCAGGATGTCTCACTCCGGTGCCGGGTTGATGGGTGGTAGATTCCGTTGTTTAAAGTACTGGGTGACCTGCTGAGGCAGTTCGGCCAGAACCGACTTGGCGAGAGTTTCCTTGGGTGCCTGAGAGAGACAAAAAGTGTGAGAGCTCTATCTTTTACAAAAAACAGAAACACTGAGCACAGTGATGGCCTTGAAAGATTAGAATACTGGTGCCTGTGGTCTCTTCTGGTCCCACTTTAAATGCCTGTACATCAAACTAGACCTACTGTAGATGATTGTGTGACGCCTGTACCAACTATTCTAACATTAGAAAGATAATTTGTAGTAAACATTAGCCTGCCAACACAGCCCATCATTTCAGGTCACTCTCATTAACTCTCTCAGCTTCATTTCTCCCTTTTCCTCTATCTTCTGCTATTTGCTGTCTCTCACCCTCCCACTAACAAACTGGAAAGAAGCCAGCAAACGCTGTCTGTTCCTCCCACTACAGAGGAAGTCAGTTCACCCACCACCAGCCCACACACAAAAATGAAAAATTAAAATGAAAAAACAAGACAAAACAAAAATGCATTAGATGAGTTCCCTTGTGCAAAGCCTGAAAATGTGTACAAACTAATGAGCATTTATGAACACTCACATTAACACTTCACATGTGAGTGTGTATGCTCATCAGCACGTCACACACATTCACTCACAGTGTCTCTGTTGAGGCTAAGATCACCAGGCAGCCAACCCCATCCAGCAGACCCTGTATGTGTGTGAGAGCAGCTACAGACTGAGTAGCAACAGGCTTCTATTCAGTAACACATTCACACACAGAACGGCAAGACATGTCATTAGGAGAGGCCTCTACCGCAGAACTAAATAAACATCAAAATGACACTGCAAGTCACATATGAAGGTCCAAAAGTTGCAGCTCTGCAAATGGGCACTGAATGATAATGCACAGCTGAGCTAAACTCAGACAATGAACATTCCTTTAGTGAACAGGTGAGTGAATCCAGCTTCTGCTTCATGGCTTTGAAGTGAAGAAAACAGAAAAATAGACCTTGATTTATGTAGGAGAATCAGTCTGTTATAATATTGCAGAGCAGGGCGACATGGACACTGTGGGTATGTGTGTATGAACAAATGAACGAACAGCTTTTTTCACCAATAACACCTGTAGCCTCAAAATGCTTAGCAAATATAAAAATTTAATATGCACGACGAAGATGTCACTGACAAAAACTAGACTCAAATGTCAATAAATTTGAGACAAAATCTAACAAAATTCAATTGAACAAAACATTTTTGTAAAAAGACTCAAACTAAATCAAGGTCCCAAAATAAACGCGGACATTTGAGAACAAAGAAACCTCAGACTAGACTTTTCTACATCTGTATATTGTACTGTATATTTTGCATCTATATGTTTTTGCTAAACTGGGCTTCATAGCACAGTGCAAAAAGTAATTTTATTCTATTTACATTTTTCAAAAACAACCTATCCTGTTACAGTAAATCTCAACTTTACTATACTTTTTTGGGACAATACATATTAATGTTAGCCCAAAAGCCAATATTCAACTGTTCTCCCTTGGCCAAATGTTAAAGGGCAAGGCCGTCATTTTCTATATTAACAGTGTTTTCAACAGTCCCGATATACAGACTAAAACCGACAATGAGTTGCCTCTGCTCACTGTTGGTGTCTGTTAGTCTTTCAGTCATGGAGTAGCTTATTTGTCTGTGCCACAGAACTCCACTGATGTTCAAAAACAATTAAAAAAAAAACAAATCAGTGAAGAGCATTGCTGCACTTAGTGACATAGTTCCTTAGTCCAAAACACAAGACCTTGATATTTGTTAAGAATATCCAGAGATCTTGCACATGGACTCTTGACTCTTGCTTACTTCAGATTCTGTACAAAGTAATGTTCATCTGGAGCCTTTGGAGCAACATTTTTTAAAAATATCAGGGTATAGTGTTTCATAATGAAGAAACATATCAACCAGAGCAGCGGTGTAATTCAATGATATGTTTTTAATTGTTTTTGAACAACAGCAGAGGTCTGTGGTATGGGTCAATAACCTAATCCAGGACTGACAGACGTTAATCACGAGTAGAGGCAAATCACTGTTTTAGTCTCTGTATGGGGAGTGTTTGAAAATACTGTTAATATAGAAAATAATTGGCCTTATGCTTTAAAATAGCCATTTAAATAACATATACAACATGAGTTAGCTGAATTCGCTGAACTACTTTGTACAATAAAGTAATTAATTTTTAGAGTGCATGCAGGTTACAGGACATCTTCCAGCCTGAGACCAATACTCACATTACGGAAATCCCTGAAAGGGACGAACTGCACAATGTCCCGAACAGCCTCCTCTCCCGTGTTGGACCTCAAAACACTGGCGTCTCCATCTAGGAACTCCATGGCAGCAAAGTCTGCGTTGCCCACACCAATGATGATTATGGACATGGGGAGCTTAGACGCCTGTACGATGGCGTGACGTGTCTCGTCCATATCGCTGATGACACCATCTGTTATAATGAGGAGAGTGAAGTACTGCTGCGGGGGGACAAGCATAGAGGAAGGGAAGCAATGAGGTAAGAAATGAGGAAAAGAAGGGGGAAAGACAAGATGGAAAATTTGACAAATAGATCATACAGTAAGTTGGGGAGAAATCTGTACTGCAAAAAAAAACATGGGGAAATCTGTTACAGTTGTGATGATTATGCTGTCGACAATGGTGAGCAGAGTGACAGTGTGGAGGAGGTAGAGAAGAACAGAGTTGACAAAGAAATGAAAAAAGGCAATACAGAACTGGAAAGTGTTAGGAGAAACAGTGAAGAGGAGATGATTTAAGATAAGGGAGCCAGAGCTAGACAACACTGCACATGGGAGGATAAAACAAACAAATCAGAATGAAAGCTTTTCTGCATTACAGCAAGTTGGGCTCCCTTCCTATGACAGAGCACACCATCTGTTCCTGGGAAAAAATGAATCCAGGGATGAACATGAGGAAGAGAAGTGAATGGTGAGAAATTATTATGAAAAAGAAAGGACAAACTGCAACTGCAGTGAATCAGGAGGGAAATAGCTCAGGTTTCAGGATAAGAAATAACCTGTACCATACCATAATTAGCCTAAAATCTGTTGTTTTTCTGCAAATTTACATGCAATTTAAAGGACTTCATGAGTATGAAAATGTGCATCTGTATAAGGGGCCAACCTGTCTTTTCATCAAACACATAGACAAATGATAAGGGGCCCATGTCCTGTTGATAAAAACACTTACATAAATACTGGCACGGAGGGGAGAATAGTATTTTAGGAAACTACTACCATTTTTAATACTGTTAATATTTTTCTTTGCTGATGTAACACTTGAATTGCCTCTGTGTATGAAATGTGTTATACAGCTGCCTTGTCTATCACTGATATGTTGCTTTGTGACATTAGTGAAGAAAATATTGTCTCATCAACAAATAGCACCAAACATATTTAAAAGGGGTAAAATAAGAAGATACACTAAATATACACCATTATGTATAAAGGGGGAGTTAGCAATGCCACTTTGGTCAGATGTATCATCAGGGGGCCAACATGGCAAGAACCTTCTTTCTTCCCCTTGTAACAGACCAGACGAGCCAGGTTTTTCTGGATTTCATTCCCATTGTTTACCCTGCTTTAATTTACTTCTTTGGCCACTTAGGGGCAGTGCAATGAGCTGTGAACACGGCACTGACAATAATTTATAGTTTAACTGGCAAATGTGTTAGAAAACTGCTCCTTATTTACATATCTAGCAGAAGTGAAGCAACATTGTCATTCATTTCAAGCTGTGTGTCTGGTTGATAAATGTAATTATGGCATCTCATCTCCTTTTAGCTCTGGTCTGGTCTCCACCACCTCCTAAGGAATACAGTATGTTGTATGTGACTATAGCTGCTAAAAGTTCCACTGTGTACACCTGCAAGTCGTTTAGATTGTTTGTTGTTTGTGGATGAACAGGTTATGAGATTATTAGGTTTTTTTAAAAATGAAAACACTTTCCTATTTTGAAAATGACACTGACAAGGGCTGTGTGAGGCAAACAAAAGAGTAAAGGTGCAGGATGTAAATCCATAACAACAAGCTGAAACCTGAAAATACCTCACTCCACAGAGCTGAGGGGAAGTGCATTACAATTCGTTGTGCATTTGAAAGTTACCTCTCTCACACAGTCGTAGTTAAGTGATCAATACTGATTATAGCAGGTTTATGCTCCAAACTTATATTACGCACAGAGCACAACAACAAACACAAATTAGAGATTAATTCACACTGTTTTCCATTATCATTTGATACATTGTTATCATTAAATATTACTTATAGCAGCTTTAACGCTAGCATACAGTAGACAATTTCCATCCAATAGACATGGAGTATCATTAGCATTAGTTTAGTGACAGGTTACTGGACATCTAAAAAAGTACTGTCTCTTTTAAATTCTAAGATATAAAATATCCTGGTCTTTAGCTGGTAAATGCTCCACTATGTCCATCACCTAATTGCTGACTTTGTCTGTGTGCCGTTTGGACTGGTAGCAAACCATAGTAGGCTACAACAAATAGTTCATCAGTACTATACTACTATTTTTTTTAAAACTGCAAACACCTGCCAGCTGGATGGTTGATGAGTGCTGTTAGTGTCAACCTAATAGTAAAACAAACAATAATCTGAAAGATACTAAAATGACTGTAGTGCAGAGGGAAACTGCAGAGTTGGGTGAAGGCTGGAGACAACACCTTTCACATTTCATATAGTCCTTTGCCTATTATTTCTAATTATTATATACTAATTAAGCATTAAATAAGCTCACGTTGTTAGCCCCAGCCCTGTACTGTGTAGCATTTATCACATCAAATGCAGTGCTGCAGTATGTTATCATGCATTTCAAAACAGGACCTTCATAATCATGGCTGGACTTACAAGAGAGCAGAGCAGCAGACATGCTGCTGCAGAGGGGATTAACACATCATGAGGGATTCATATGTAAAGCCCAACACTATCTCTGCTGAGAAATAGGTAGAGACAGCTGGACTGGAGCACCCTGAAAGGGCTGATTTTGCGATTCTGCACACCACAGATAAAAACACAGACAGAATAATAAGGGACAATGTGTGTGTCTAAAGTCGCGATGTACAGAGACATCAGGGAGTCTGCAGGAGACACTACATCATTTCACACCTGTCTTTATTAGAGCATCAAACATGCGTTATACAATGTGTTACACACAAACACTTTTGCCACTTCTAGGGACATGTAACTGAGCACTAACCTAATGAAGGGTCAGATCAAGTTTCACTGAATGCAACAGCAATAAAAACAAACAGGGGAAACTAATTTTATCTCCAAAAGCCTTGACCAGGAAATGAGATAAGCATGTTAGCCACCTATCTTTGAGTTTAGCTCAGGTTTTCCACTATAACAAAGCTGGCTTACATTTAACTAGGGTAGACCACCTTATGCAGCATGGCTATCCTATTCAGAGTAATTTCAGGACCAAACCAAAACATCCAAAGTCTGTATACTCATTACTGGAACAATGGATTCATGACTTAGACACGATGCTGACAGGTACAAAAGTCCTGAGTTTATAAATAAAATGATAGGCAAGACTAATAAAACAGCAAAATTATTTTTCTATTAATTTTCATGTTATTTATGTCAGAGATAGAAGAAACAAGTGTCCATCTTGTGTTTAAAACAATGCTTCTAACAGAGATACAGTAGTCACTACACTAGCCAATTTCCATTCAAATGTAGCACAAATTTTAAATAAATTCCCAGAGAAAATGCAAATTAATGCATGTTTCCATCTACTACTGTTGTACAAATACTAGAAGACTGGTGAATCGAGATAAACAATTGGTGGCACTAATTGTCCAGTCTATCATTAAACCAGTGCAACAACAGGACATAATTAAAAAGACCTCAAACAAACAAAAATGAAGACTTGAAGAAATCATAGCCTTTTTTGTTTCATGCTAGTAAGTCACACACTTTATCTACTACTTTATTGCATTGCACTTTAAAAAAATTTATTTTACATTTAAAAAAATAGCATTTTTTTTTTTATCTCAACTGAGTATAAAACATTCATCTTATGTGGATTGGCGGATGGAGGTAAATGTAGCAATACCACAATGTAAAGTACAAATAGAGGTCCCACATTCAGAACTAAAAGTACTACTTAATGCTACTTAATGTAGTAAAAGTACTCACTCTGCAGAATAGCACATTACACATCAATGTGTATCTAATGTAATCTTATTATTGAACAATAATTATTTATGTATTATTGTGTACATCACATTTAATGTTGCAGCTGGTAAAAGTGGAGTTAATATTATTTAATAATTATTTAATACTAATAAATGTTACCTTATATGTTTATAATTTGAAGTACTTTACATACTACTAGGTTGCTTGCGAATATCCCACCAAGTCTTATAATTATACTGTGTTTTGTATTATTCATCTCACTCTGTAACTAGTAACTAAAGTTGTCAAATAAATGCAGTGAGTCAAAAGTTGAAGTATGAAGTAGCAGAAAATAAAAATACTCAAGTGGAGACACCTCAAAACTGTCCTTAAGTACACTGCTTGAGGAAATGTACTTAGTTACTTTTCAATTCTGGGAATAACTCCCAAATAATTATTCCTTATGGTATGTATTTCTCTCATGGTTCTGTGATGTTGTTTGTAATTAACAGCTCTGGCCTTTTTTCATGAACATGCTCAGAGCTGGTTGGTTAGACCCAGAGTTAAAGAAGCCACGTGATAACTGGCTGTGTACCACCGGTTATCCAGGAAAGCCAGACGTTGTTGTACTGGCTGTGTGGTCTGATGAAAGCTGTACCATATGTGGGCACACACACATGCACACAATGAGCATTTCATCACTGCTGTGGACTAGAATGTGACTGGTTAGCCTCTGATAAGAGAAGACAAGGTGAAGACACACTGTGGCTTTGCTCAGTGAAAAAAAAAATAATAATAATCACACTTCCATTTTTCACACGCTCACATGCAGGGAGGCCTCTGAAGACTGTCTCTTTAATGTGCTAACAGCAGCGCTCATTAGAGAATCATTATCACACAAACACACAGGGTCGCTCTCACACTGGGACACACACAGACTTCACTGGCCTACAGCCTGTGTGTCTGTGTGCCAGGAGCAGGAGAGTGTTCGTACACAGTCACATAGTCTACAGACTCAGGTTCTCTCATTATCAGAGCAACAGGAATACTGAGGCAGAGCAATAGCTGATTTGTGCAGCCTACGCCCTACCCGCCTACTAACTCCAACACACACACACACACACACACACACAGTACATACACCAGTCTAACCACTAACCTAGTATGGGGTCCTCACACATTTCTACTGCGGCTGTCAAATCTCATTATCTGTTCCTCTTTCCTCTGTTCCACCCCTGTTTGAACTGAGTGCAATATTAAAAAAAAGGAAAAGGGGTCTGCAATCATTTCCTTACAGAAACAAAAGGATTCTGCTACACAACACACAGACAAGTGCAATCCGTTGTGTATTTTGCACATGAATTTGTTCTCCACAGGGTGACAGGGTATAATTATGGACAAAGAGCACCATGGGAGCATAATGATACCCAGCTACTGCATTCCCTTCAGAATTAAGCAGGAGACACTGGATACATACAAGAGGGGGACATGTACCATTTACTGAAACTTTGTAGACCTGATGCACCTGTGAGTGTCACACATCTCTGTACATTTTTGTGTGAGTGATCCTAGTGGGAACATCATGTTGAGCCTCACAGGTAAGTCTCGTTCCTTGTTGTAGTTAGACGTCATGTCCAAGACCTCTGTGCCCACACTACATTTGTTTTTGCAGCAGTGTAGTCATGCAGTCAGAGACATGAACGTAAGGGCATGACCATAAATGGAAACAAACTGAACCACAGACAGGGAACAAGCTGCACAGTCCATGCTATTTATTAAAAGGATCCTATCTGTCCTGACAGGATTCTGCTGCACCTGTGGGCCTTACAGGTGACTGAACCCAGGACCCCTGTCTGTGCTAAACACTGCCAACTCACAGTAAACAATACTGTGGGTCTGAGGCAAATACTTCTCTTATTTGTATCCACAAGGTGATAGATTTAGAAACAACGGCAGTGATTACACATTCAGTTAGGATTTGAATAGTTTCTAAGCAGCCAGAAAAAAATCTTACTAAATTTAGAGTTTGCAATAACAAAGGTGAAATAAAAAACCTCATTCTGGTGCAAATAGCAAAATGAAACATTTGAAAAAATTGTGACATCCAGGTGTAGTGAAACCAGATGCTTAGTGTGTCTTACACCAGGCTGACGACATGATGTGTGTGCTGCCAGAGGTGCCAAAATGATGCTACGATTAGACACTCAAAAGAGAATATTAAAAGAAAATTCCTCAATATGACATACTGTCTCAGAAATTGGAACACTAAAGAGATGATCTTTCAAGATGTGCTGAAGACAAGCAAAAGCAAAAGATTAAAACACACAGTCTCCTCCATTCATTTCAATATGACAACTGCATTAGCTCTGCAGACTGAGCACACCAGCACAAAAAAAACATAACAGAGGAGCAAATAACTGCGTTAACTTTTCAAATAAAGGAAGATACACAGTTTGGCATCTGATAAGTTTTCAAGCTTGACTCTCTGTTTCCTGATTGATTTTCCCATCAATATCTGTAGCAACAGCATCACCAAAATAGAAAGCCTTCTTGGTGTGAGACAGAACCTTAGGCTTGTTCTTAGTTAGATTTTTATGTGCTATTACAGCAGTTGAACATACAGTATGCTGCACGTGGCTTGAAGTTACAAAGCCCACAGGCATGACAATGCTGGCATAATTAACAGGTCAGATGAACCTTAGTACATCATCTGCAAACAAGACTAGCAGTCGACAGTCCTGCTGCCAGGTCTATGAAGCTGTACTTAATCACTTCAATGCTCACTTTGGCATGCTGACAAGCCCACAGCAATGATATTAACATGCTAATATTTAGCAGGTATAAAATGCAAAGTGTTCATGGTGGAGAGAAGTAAAGGAAACAACTGATAAAGTGGCCCATAAAGGAGATGGAGGATTCCTCCCTATCATGTTGTTAAGCCCACAAATGTGTGAAATGGCTGGTCAGTGTCTCAGCTGCAAAGGAGTGTACGATGAAGACAGTTGTCACTCCAGTCTGTCACCCTCCTTCCTGCCACTCTGGTCATCATGCCAGGAATCTGAGCCAACAGATGCACACTTGTTTGTCCTGTCAGCCATCAAGTTGCTAAACAAAGTGCATAAATACAGTTGGACAGAGTACCAACTGCACTGGCAGGTCTTCACAACTGAAGGTTGCTCTGCTACTGGTGAGTACATACTGGTGTGAAATGCATAAAGTCGGTTGTATATTGTACATTACCTTACATAACTTACTGTAAATATCAATTGTACATATCTATTGGTAAATTAGTACTGACTGTACATACTGTAGATACTGCACAGTCTGCAATGTTGTTATTGCACTTCTGGTTAGATGCTAAGCTGTATTTCGTTGTCGTGTACTTGTACATTTGTAATGACAATAAAGTTGCATCTAATCTAATCTAATCTTATTTAGTGAAGTGTTTGTGTTTCTTTGGTATGAGCTGCCCTGTGGGATGATAACTGAGACCAATATGATCACATTTTGGCCTGGGTTAGAATGTGTGCACTAAGCACTGGACTAAAGCTAAAGTCAAGAACCAAGTAAGTATGTTAATCAGATTCCACTGAAGAATGATGATAATGTAGAAATGGTAAATGGACTGTATTTATATAGCGCTTTCTCACAGTGTGTTACACTGGCCAAAGCGCTTTACAGGAGATCATACACCAAGAAAGGCAGATAAATAGGTATGATGCTGTCACCCACCGCTGCTTTCTCTTGCTGAAGGGCCTGGGCAGCAAAACGTGCTACATGGTTGATGATTGGAGCAAAGTTTGTGGGGCCATAGAAACGGATGTGAGGGAGACAGGCAGAGTAGGCTTGGGCAATACCCTCCACACCTACAGACACAGAAAGAGAAAGACTTTAAATTAAGTCTTAAAATAAAATGCCTTAAAATAGCAACATGCCTTAAAATAAAAGAGGAGGGTGAATAGAAGTTTGTAACAAAGTGAAAAGAGATGGGCCACATATGGAAAAATGCTCCTAAGCCTCCAAACCTCAATTAAGACATTTTCAGTTGGTAGCCACAAGCTTAAGAAAGCTTGCTATTGCTCTGTTTAGGTCACAACACTGTTAAACACAGCTGCATATTTTTTGTGCTTATTATTTTGCTATAAAAGTGGGGTCCTTTTCATTGATATTTCAATCAGATTATAATATACTTCTTCATTGTAAAACATGCTAGAAACATGGTATACTCTATAAGATACACTGCCCGGCCACTTTATTAGGTACACCTGTACAATTGTATGCACTTCAGTGCAACACTTCCACCTTAACATCTGTGTTTATGAAACTCAAAATGTTTCAGTTTTTGGAGAAATTGTCATAAATGTATAAACTCAATTCCATATATTTTTATTGATGTCATAGTTAAAGGTGGTGTTGTAGTGGACTATATTTTATTTAGAGGTGTTCCTCATATTATGACCTTCTCATGTATGGAGCTGTGGAGGACAAACATATAGAGGAATATAGTATAATGCTAACGCCTTCTAAGAATGGTTGCATATTGTACTTTAAACAGTTATAACAAGGTTTTATATAGTAATTATAGCAGCATTTTGTTACTGCAGTGACCCAAAACAGGTTTTATTGTTTGGTCTGGGTCTTTTCATTTTGAGAAGACCTGAGGCTGTATTGGTCTTTGCAAGAAAATATTTATGTGCTAAAATGCTCTCTTACATAGTCAGAAGAGAAGCAGTTCATCTGCTAACTTAAAAAGGAAATGTTTCTTATTATATGTGTTATGCTTTAAAAACATCAAGCTGTAAATCTATTTTGATGAAGCAAAGGACTTAATGTCTTTACAGAAATCTTCCTTAGCAGATGGCGCAGTATACTATTTTAGCACAACCTCCTGCCTCCGTCAGGCTAAAATATGTATTACAAATTTTCATTCTGGGTCTCAGTTGTGCTCTCAACAGCTGGTGCTCAAACCGTTTGCATTTGTCAATAAACACATTTGCATCCAGGACATTTCAAATATGTGCATTAACAAATCCAAAAGTACCATATAAAAAGGAGTGTTTGTTTGCAGTCCATTAAAATAAGGTGCAAAACATTGGCAATTTACAGATCCTGTCAAATTTAAATAGATATGATGAAGGTAAGGACATGTTAGTTACAGTGTCTATTTATGCTAAGTAAAGTACTTTTTATAAGCGATGCTAGCACCAGCGAGGCTACAGTGGAGCACTGAGCTAAATGCTATTAAACCATCAACACAATTAAAATGCTAGCATGCAGCTGTTAAGCAAATATATTCGCAATGTTCACAATCTTAGTTTAACATGTTAGCATGCTAACATTTGCTAAGATCTGTCATTGGATATTGAAAATGTGAATGAAATTTCATGATATCTGATAGTTGTCAATGTGTATTTCACTAAAAGGCAACAATGTCATAGCAGTCCATTCAACAGGTGTTGACAATTCTCAGTTTTGGACTGTTCAGGTGTGCACTGGCAGCAATGCTGAGCTACGGCTTGTCTGGTCTGAGGTGGGAGTAAGTCACATATTTGGAAATCACAAGCAAGTCTCAAGTTACTTGGGTGAGAATCAAGCAAGTCGAGTCAAGTCCCCACTATAAGTCAAGCAAGTCACAGGTCAAGTCATACAAAATTCTCATGATCTGATAATGTTATGGGAATATCATGTTTTTAAGTGAAACATTCACAACTGTGAATACAAACAATACCAAACAAACTTCACGCTTTACCAGGTTAAAAGACATTTCAGTTCTATTCAGTGCAGTCAAGTGTTAGAGATCAAATTGCTGTGCTAGTTTCTTTTTTTGTTTGTTTTGAAACAAAGTAACACATTCACAAAATGTGCCCTAGTTTCAGATTTCATACTGACTCTAAACAGGTTTTGATTATGCTAGTTATAGTAAATAACTCTAAAAATAACCAGAAGTAAAACTAGTTTGGTTGCCCAGGCACAGTGGGAAATTATATGGGACGCAAGTCTGACGGGTTCCAGCATTAACAACAAGCCATAACAGTGGACTAGCAGACTACTTCTGCTCCTGGAAAACATTAGAGCAGGCCAGGGTCCTACCTAACCACCAAATTTAAAAAACTATACATTTAATACAACAAATCAGTTACAACTGAGCAAACTAATATGAAATAAAAGCTTGAGAATTAAAACATTGTGGAGCAGCCAGTGACAAATCCAGATATCTCTTTAATCACTAAAGGCACAAAATACCAAAAAATACTTAGAGCCCCTGCAAACTCAATTCAAATCTTAAAGTGACTATAAACAGTGTTTTTAGAATGAAAATGTATCAAATCACAAATGTGAAAACAATGCAATAATGTGAAAACCTTTTATAGTGAGTTTCAGTTTAGTGTAGAACTGTTTGACCCACAACAAGCAAAAAACCTCCTTAGGTATCTAACTTTTCAGTGGAGCACAAGACAGACACAGTTACATATGTGTGCTGTGGAGTGCACGCATTAAGAGAATAAGTCATGTGAAAGACTAAATTTTCACACATGCTTGAGGTATGGACCGACAGCCCTGATAAAACAACCTTTTCAGTGCACTGACTGTTAGCTATCGCCTCCTCTGCGTCTGGGAACAAATATGACATTTGCACATAATATGAGCTTCAGATCACCCCCTCCCTTTCAGTTGGTCATATACTAGCATGCTGTCTTGGAGGGTATAACAGAATAATCTAATATGACTTCACTCCAAAGGCAATGTGCACGGGTTTGCTCAAATAGTGTCCCGATCCCTATGACATGTCCAATATAATGCTTGAATCCAATTATTTTTGGACTAGGCTCCTCCACAGCTACATTCTGTGACCTGTGTTACCCTGCTGCGTTCTGGTAGGTTGCCAGGTTTGTGTGTATTGCACTAGAAATCACCCATTTGTGTTTTAAAAAACAAAACAGAACTTCTCAACATCTAAAAAATGCAAATACAATCAAAGTAATTTTGAGTCATCTGTCTCAAGTCTACATCAAGTCTCAGGTTGTGAATTTCAAGTCAAAGTCAAGTTGAGTCATTTACCGGTGTTAGTCAAGCAAGTCTCTAATTTGCAACTCAAGTCTGACTCGAGACCCCCACCTCTGTGTACAGCCAACTAATGTTTGGAGAGAGGACTATATCAGTGAATGTTTGTGAAGATTCTCAGTTTTCCAGATCACATGATATCTAGAAGTGCTAAGGGTTTGACTTCCTATTTATTCCTGAAGAGTAGTAGGGAGTCCTAGACAGAGTTGTACCCTGTCAATGAATAGATGTGAATGCACTTATCTGGAACTTTCACTGCTCTGAATTGTCAGGAGCTACTGTTTGGTGTCATAGTGTGCACTGGTGTTCATGCTGCCAATTTAGACGTCCTGAGCAGAAAGTGTAGGTGAAGTGTGAAGCTGTTATTTACTCAGACTCAGCAAGACACTCACAGAAGTGTGCAGCACCTGCTGCTGTCACATGAACTGGAGATGTTTTTTTTATGGAGTGTCCTACACAGAGCAAGTATCAGCTCACACATCAAAATTTTTAAATGATTAAAATATAAATATTGGTATCTGCTTCAAAGATCCTATATTGGCCACATTATACAAAAGGGTCAATTACAATAAGTACACATCTGAAACATGTATAAAATGTGAAAATAGTAATATTGCACTCACCACAACAGAAGGGGTTGGTGGGGTTAAAGTTGATGGCAAATTCGTGTGAGACCTGAAGAGACGTGAAACACAAACAAAAAAACTTGACACATTTCCCTCACTGCACTGTACAATACTGTTGAGAAACACTGGCCATTTCTCCCACTCTTTCTCCCTCCTACCCTTCCTCCATCTCTCTGTGTACTGCTCTCTCTCCTTTGTCCTTTTCATCAGCTCAGTGCCATGGCAACACAGATGGGTTGACAGTTGCGTAATCATGTGAATATGAATGTATAATGCTTACAGTTTTATCTGTGCATGTGACTGTGTGTTAAATGCATGTATTATACAGGCTTGCTTTAACTCTAAGTTTGCATATGACGACCTCAGCCATATGACAGAGAGGGCGGGGCTCTCACTGTCTTTGTCACAGACACATGTATGTAATGCACCTATCTGCGTCTAGCACGCACACACATTAACACACACACACACACAGCTATTTTCATTCCTTGTGGGGACTTTACATTGACTTACATTCATTTCCTATAGACTTATCCTAACCTTAACCATAACCACTACTTGCCTAACCCTGACCCTAACACTTAACCTAACCTCATCCTAACTATAAACCATGTTGCCACCCTAAAATTCAGTGATTTCGAGTCCCCACAGTGTGAGTGTGTTAATAGGTTTCGGTCCTCATAATGTAAGTAATACAAAGGTACACACACACACACACACACACTAACAACAACAACAGCAAACACATACATACCTTCCAGTCTGGTGGGAGTTGGGCGCCAAATCCCAGAGCAGGAAACATTTTGTCGCTGAGAAAGAAACCATGACAACAGATTAGAACATTAGTTAAGCCTTTTATTTTTTCATCCACATTCAACAAGCTGGATTTAGACAGCAGAGGAAATCCTGTTACTTTGTGCACAAAGAGAGACATTCAAAGACATTTACAGAGGGAAAAACGCACATAGCTGATGGAAAAATGAAGCAATATTGTAAAATGGCACTGAAACTATTTGGACTAAGGACAGAAATGCCTTACTGTAAGAAAAGTCCCACTGGTCTACATCAATATTCATGAAATAAAAGTAATTGTTAAAAGAAAGAAGATTTTTGTCTGTCATGTGAATTGTGTCTTAGTATGCTCTCAGTATACAAATTAAAAATCGCATTTTTAACACAGTATAAACTAAAACAGCAGAAACAGATGGCTGTGTGTGTTCAGTGCACCACTGATGCTAAAGCATTGTGGCTCTCAGGTGGATGATGGGATTGAGATGAATATTAGGATGCTCATAAACCAGTTTAATTTGAAATGCCACTTTTTTGTAGCAAGTTGATGATTGCCTTTCACATTTCATACTATCAGGTGAAATGATACAGTAAATGAGATCTTAGCACTTAAAAAAACCCATTACTGACATTAACCAACCTCCCTCATCTCTTGATACTGATATATTTAATGAACCCTTTATCCTGAAATGTTTATTACAACATTTACTTATTATAAAAAAATGAAGGGATAAGGCTGCCATTTCTGTGGTGACCATGTGAGGTAGGACCCAAAAATGCAGACTCTGAAACTCAGAAGAGGAGTGACAGCAGAAAGGAGTTTATTGCAAAAACAGACCAAGAAGAGTATAGCAGTGAAGAGCTGGGGACAGGCCGGGCAGGGACCAGAGGGGCCTGAGGACAATGGTGTGCAGGTGAGTGTGGCAGGAGCAGCAGGTACCAGGAGGACCAGAGGATCAGGGTGTGCAGGTGAATATTGCACGGGCAGTAGGCACCAGGAGGACCAAGGGACCGGAGCATACAGATGGGTAGACTGGAGATGGCAGGTACCAGGAATACCAGAGGACCAGGACGTACAGGTGAGAAGGCTTGTCTGGATCGCATGCCAGTTGAGGAGGGGAGTGATATGTAACCAGGAGGAATAGTGAACTGGTTGCTGGCCAGCGTCACCTGGGGTTCCCAAGGAGTGCAGCCAGAGGAGTACAGATGAAAGGGTAGAAGGCAGGCAGGGAAACTCTTGAAGGCTGCATGTCGGTGTTGCAGGGGTGGTGTGTACCCAGAAGCAGTCAGACAACAAGACAGCAGACAGGCTGGAGAATATACTGGAGATTCTGCAGGAGTAGACTGCTTGTCGGCAACGCAGGTGAGAACAACGAATGAGCGCGGTGTGTAGCCAGAAGCAAACTACTGGCAAGACAGCAGACAGGCAGAAGCACTCACAAAGAGAAAGATTACAGAACAACCATACTCAAGAGGGAAGAATGCAGTTCGTTTTGAATAGCCTAGCCAAGAGGTTCGGGCTACAGGTAATGAATTCAATGACACAGAGCCAAGAGTTCAGGAGTAACTTGCTCAAAAGACGTGATGACAGCAGTTCCAGGTATGTGGCGGTGAGTATCGTAGCATTAACGAAATGAGCCGGCATCAAACTGAGGGAAGGGAACAGTATATATACATGACTGTGAACGAGAGACAACGAGGGACAGGTGAAACTAATGAGTGGTGATAGAGACCAGAGTGAAGCTAGAGCAGGTGAAGTGAGAGGGAACAGAAAAGACCAAACCAAAAGCACAAAAATGGAAAAAGGAGAGCAACCATGACAGTTGCTTTCTATATTAACAGTATTTAAAGCAATCTCCACACAGAGACTAAAACAGACAATGATTTGCCTCTGCTCACGGTTAATGTCCGTCAGTGTGTCAGCTCTGGATGAGCTTGTTTGACTGTGCCACAGACCTTCGTTATTGTTCAAAATCAATTTAAACAGATCAGTGAAACACATTGCTGCACTTAGTGACATGGTTCTTCATTTGCAATCACCAAACCTGAGCATGAATGTGAGCAAAGATGAGTGCTCACAAAATCACGCACATGCGCAGTGCTGACTTCAGGAAATTATAGTCGCCCGGAGACTTTGGGGCAATTTAGTCGGGTCTGGTGTTTCTTTATGAAAAAATGGTCATCCAGTGTGTTTCCTTGATTTTTTAAAAATAATTTTTAACAACACCAGAGGTCTACAGCAGAGATGAAGAAGCTGATCCAGGACTAACAGCTGACAGTCATTAACTGTGAACAGAGGCAATTCATTGTCAGTTATAGGCTTTGTATGGGGACAGCTGAAAATATACTGCTCAAAAAAATTAGAACATATAATCTTCACTGTATAACACCAAGTCAGTTAAATTTCAGGGATATCAATATGTCCATTTAGGAAGCACAAGTGATTGTGAATCAGTTTCACCTGCTTTGGTGGAAATAAGTGACAACAGCTGCAACGAAGACAAAACAAGACAACCCCCAAAAAGGGAATGCTCTCTCCTGATCCTTCCTGAATGATGTTTCTCACACTTTGTGTTTCTCTAGTGTCCTTTTCACTACTGGTAGCATGAGGCAGTACCTGCAGCCCAGTCATGTTGCACAGGTAGTCCAGGTACTTCAAGATGGCGCATCCATAAGTGCAGTTGCAAGAATGTTTGCTGCATCTCCCAGCACAGCCTCAAGACCATAGAGGAGATACCAGGAGACTGGCATTACACCAGGAGAGCTGGACAGGGCCATAGAAGGGCAACAACCCAGCAGCAGGACCGGATTCTACTCCTTTGTGCAAGGAGGAACAAGAGGAGGATTGAAATGCCCTACAGAATGACCTCCAGCATAATGTGTGCATATTTCTGACAAACCATCAGAAACAGACTCCATGAGGGAGTCATGAGGAACTGACGTCCACTATATACATCACAGCCCGGCAGCATGCAGCTCGACTGACATTCGTCAGAGAACACTATAATCGGCAGGTTTGCCACTGGCACCACGTTCTTTTCACAAATGAGAGCAGGTTCATAGAGAGTGAAAGAGTCTGGAGACGCTGTGGTGAATGTTATGCTGCCTGTAACATCATAGAGCAGTTTAGTGGTCAGTGATGGTCTGGGGATGCACATCCTCACAGGGCCATGCGGGCCTCCATGTCATAGTTAACAGTACCCTGACTACTGTGAGGTACCAGGATGAAATCCTCATGGTGACTGTCAGACGTTACGCTGGTGCAGTGGGCCCTGGGTTCCTCCTGGTGCAGGACAATGCCTGGCCTCATGTGGTCAGAGCATGTAGGCAGTTCCTGGATGGCAAAGGCATTGTTGCCATTGACTGCTCTTCATATTCCCCTGACCTAAATCCACTGAACACCAATGGGGCATTATGTATCGTGCATCTGACCAGGCACCACCAGGTGCCTCCACAGACTGTCCAAGAGCTCACTGATACCCTGATACAAGTCTGGGAGGAGATCCCCCAGAACAACATATGCGAACTCATCAGGACCATGCCCAGATGTTGTCGGGAGTGCATACATGTCAGGAATTGGCGCATTATGCCGCCGATGAAGTCACGGGGTGAACTCAATTATAGAGCTAGACGAGGATAAGTAAAACACTGTCTCTTTAATCATCGCACTGGTAACAAAACGATACAGAAAACTATGTAAACTCGAAACACATTCTCAGGTTGATAATACAGTCCAGGGTCAGAGCCAGCAAACTTACACAGCTGAGGGATCCACAAACAAGAGGTCAGAGAGGTGAGTCCAATAGTCCATATACAGAAAACACAATAAGAATCAGAGGGGTTAGGCAGTACTCGGTGGTCACAAGGTAATCTGTGGTCAGAATTGGAATAACAGGTGCAAAGAAAAATGCTGGAAAGTCTGAACAGGAGTTAGAATGATCTGGCAGCTTCCTGGTGGTAGGAAGTAGTGCGCTAGCGTGGGCCTGTGGCTTTAAATAGACACCCACCAGCATGAAACTCGAAAATTCTCGGGGAGAGTAAAAGGGTTTGCAGTTGATAACAATAGTTTCTAGGTCTGTGGTACATGTCCTCTGTAGCACTGTGACATCTGTGCGCCAACCTTCATTTATGTAGAAGCAGATTCCACCTCCTCTCGTTTTCCCGGACAGCACCATTAGCGATCTGCTCTGTACACCTGGAAGCCCGGTACTTGTATCTTGCTGTATGCGATCGTGTCGCTTAGCTCATTGAGCTAGGTCTAGGTGAAGCACAAAGCAGCAGAGCGTGCAAAGTCAGAGTTAGTCCTGTTGACAAGAAGAATTTCATCCATCTTATTGACCAGGGAGCGAAGATTTGCTAGGTGGATAGATGGGAGTGGAGTCCGGGCTCCTCTCTGTCATAGCCTCACTAAGGTGCCCGCTCTTTTGCCACGGCGGCTTCTTCCAGATCCCATAGATTGCAGCTGCGCCTCCGATCAGAATGTCCATACAGCATTCTTCATTCACAAAAATTGGAGAAAGGTAGTTTGGTGTGAGTTGTCCGATATTTAACAATTCTTCTCTGGTAAAAGTAATCCAGGATGGGTTGCAAAAGACCAAGAAAACAAAGAAAAACAACAAACACAAGAGAGCGGGAGTAACCAAGGCTGCCATCGCTGTCGGCGCCAATCAGGGGTTACTTCATCTAACTGCACTTGACTGTTTACGTTTTCAGTTTGCATATGCACACTCATTGCTGGCTGTTGCACATACAGCTGATGTAACCTATATTCTTATTATATTTTTCATATGCTGTTCTTAAACTTGCCTATATTTTGTATTATTTATCTATTTTAAATTTATACTTTATGTTGTTTGGTATTCATTGTGGACAGCAAAGGAAGTATTTCATTGTACAGGGAAACATGTTTCTGTGCATATGACAATAAGCACTTCTGATTTTGATTTTTGATCGATTATTTCATATATATATTTTTTGCTTTGATGTTTATTCCTACTGTAAATATTCAGTACTGTATTGCCTTGTAGAGCACAAAGAGAACCAACACAGCACACAGGGCACATGTATTTTCTACTGAACTGTTTCTTTAAGACTTTCACCATACGTATTCATGGTTTTTTCACTGTACTCTTCTGATAAGAAACTAATCTCATCACTCATGTGCAAACTACATATTGTGTAATATTCCAAATATGTACTTTTCCCATATTTGCTTGTTTGATATAAAGTGCATAGATTCTATAAGGTTTTCTGCCTGACCTGCAGGCCAAAGTCTTTGTCTTTGTGTTTGTAAATAAGTGACAAGGGGTGAGACAAAGGGGGAGGACTGTAGGGACAAGGTGTCAGATGATCTGAAGACAGGAGAAGTCAAGCTATCATGAATGTGCCTGCAGTTTTGTGAGTGTGCTTGACCTGAATGGGCGAGTTGGGGTAGAGGTCAAAGGTTGTCTGTCACTGGGTAGAAAATCTTGCTGGTATGTGATTTTTTTCCTGTCTAGATGTCAGTCTAACTCGCTCTCTGTTGGTCTTTCTTGTGGAGTGTCTATTTGCCTTTATGCCCATCTGGCCAGAGTGAAAGGGCACAAGGGTAAAACTGTGTATAGCAGCAGGATGTGTGAGTGTGTGCACTCTTGGTAACTGTAAATAGGTGCACATTTCCATAAAGTTGAAAATATAATGCTGCATTGGACTGAGCTGTCAGCTTTCTATTGACATTGAGAGGAGAGGAGGGGGAGGGAGGAGGAACAGAAAGGAGGAGAGGAAAGTGGAGCAGAGAAGAGCTGGCACTGGTGGGGAGGACACTACAACGACAGCACACATACTCACACTTCGTTTGCCATGCGGTGAGCTGCTGTAAACAATTATGTCTGCCTTGCTCTGCCACAATCACATTACTGCTGGAGGACAAGGCCTCTAGACAGACCCACGCTGTGAGGAAAATGAATACACATACATTCCATCATACACACACACTGTACAACCACATATTTGATGTTGTGCATAATACTCACCACTGACACACAATGACACCTTCTGGTAGATTTCAAATACCAGTATTGTTATTAAACACTGACAACTAATGTTAGCGAGAAAGTGTCTGATTA